ATATACATTTCGAAATATTAATTTCAAATTTTCAACTGACCATAAGATGACCCATATTTAAAAAAAAATTATTTTTGATATTTTCGCCATAATTATCAATTATTAACTTAGCTATTGATATTAGATTCAATATTAGATCATAATTAGTTTTAAATTAAAAATTAATTATTTAACATCAGTAAAAAGGTAAAAAAGGCGTTTTTTGGACCTTTAACCCCGATTATCTCCGCTAATATAGTTGCTAATGCGCTAAAATTTTGTTTATAATCTAATGGAAACATATATAACCAGTCTACAACTTTTTATCAAAATTGAAAGGGGTCGGCCGAAAATCTTGATTTTTTTGCTCATTTGACATGGAATGACCCTTTAAGAGATTTCCCAAATATCGAAAAATATATTTCAATTTTAATACTTATCCTGATTCTTGATATTATGGACTAAGATTCGATTATTTAATATAATTTAATTTTACATCGGAATGTAAACAACCAAATATGTTAAATAAGGGAATCGAAAATATTTACACACAACACAAGACATTGATTGAAGAATTATTAGATCAAATTCTCAAAATAAAATTAAAAGAAAATTTATATCCATATTTTGGATCTATTAAAAATGAAAAGTAAAAAATAAATATGTTTATCAATCTAAAAATACTCAATAGGTTTAGCGACATTGTAATATATATTGTTGGCGGTTTGACATATGAAGAGATATTAGCAACATACATGTTCAATAAAAATAACAATTCTGGACCACAAGCTATGCAAGTGTTAATAGGAGGCACAAATATTTTGAATAGTCAAATGTAAGTATCAAATATTATTAATTTTTATAATTAGACATGGAAAAATTCGTCTAGCTAACTTAAACATTCCATATTCACCTTGTCATTTTTACCTTTTGCATTTAGGAATCACTAAAATAGTAATCGAATAAATACTTATTCGTATTCGTATAAATAATAACCATTATTCGATTCGAAAATTAAAAATTTTAAAATATTTTCAAAAGTGAAAAAATTAGGGGTGTATGATACCACTTTTTGGAGGCCGATCCCCAATATTAAATTGATATCGACCGATTACCGATCCGATATCATATCTAATTTTGTATTCTGTAAAGATACCATTGGTTTTAATTTTTAATAAACATCTATAATTTAACTATACCATAACTTATGTCATTTAAATATATTATAATGATCAGTTATAGTTTATATTCAATTCAATAAAATATTTTTATTGTTAAATCACTTTTATATAATAAGTAACACATTAATTTATATACATAATAAGTAATAAACAAATATATATGAAATTTGAAATAAATATTTAAAATAATATTTAACATTAATATATCGAAGATTTCTTTTTAGAAATACCAAAATTTCCAATTTATCAGAGGTCAGCCTGCGGTGATGGTAACTGTCAATATCACCAGCTTCACTAAAAACTGATTCTGAAGAGATTATCGCACATTTTTATAAACAGAATGCGCAAAAAAATAACAATATGGCAGAATGTTTATTAATATTATTAATGGATTTCGATTTTATTTATAAAAATAAAAGATTTTAGATATAAATCTTTTTAAAAATTTTATAACATTTTATTTTTGTTAAAGACGCCATTTTATATCAAATCGGATTGGGAAATTTTATAATATTGGCCGATAACCGATATTTTAAAATGGATGAATATCGGCCCGATCCGATAAAAAATATCGGTGTATCCCTAGAAAAAATGGTTTATTGAATATAAAAAAATGAGGAACATGTTGAATCTTTCAAATATTTATGAATGATTTTAAATTATTTTATATTTTTAATAACAGTGATTTTTAATTCGATAAATTTAGAACATTTTTATCGAATAATAAAAAAGAATATTATTTTTCAGGGTTCAGGAACTTGATCGAAATCGACTTTCTAAGAGGGGCGAACCCTCCCTTGGTCCAATTACCCCAGGTTCAATTAGTTGCATATATTGGTCTCTGTTTAATTTATGGTCTCAAAATGCCTAACCAAACAATTTCAAATTAATGAACCCGAATTCAATAATATTTTCATTATTCATATTCAATTTGAATTGTCGAATAGGAATTTCAGGATTAAAATTCTATTTGAATTTTTGAATCAAAATTTTACTATTCATATTCGTAAAATACGATTCAAAGCGAATCGAATAAAGAATTACTTACTTTATGTATCTGTACCAAGTCAAATGCATAATCATATCATATCATAATCATATTGATTTGGGAGGTTGTATATTAACAACTAATATTATTAGAATCGAAACCTATAGCACACAATATTCTTTAAACCTATATTATCAACTTTTTTCTCTATAAAAACTAATTTTAAAATTCTATATAGATAATTATATATAAATATAGCAGATATGCGCCGATACCACAATACGATTTTTTTTTAAATGATCCAAAAAAACCCTGTTTATTTGAAAAAAGAATATAATACGATTTTTCCATTTCCATAAAAAAAAATTTTATTTTTGTAATTTAGAACATTGATTTTTAATTATTTTAAGCTCAATTTATTTAACACTTTAAAATTTATTCTATTATTGAAAAAATTTCAATATCGAAATTAATTTTAAATAACAATATTTCAATTTTACAATGTATTTACAAATGATAAGCTTTTCTTGAGTCTCTATATAGACCTTGAAAAAATGATTAAATAATTAGTTTAATCAATTAAAAAAATCTTTTGAGATCAAATTTTTAATATTATAACAATCTTTAACAAATATTCTAAATTTCCTTAACATCGGCAGGAATTCCATCTAGAAAAAAAAGAGAAAAATTTAACTAAAGGCACATCAAACACTGAACATTATTCGGTCAACTTAACTTAAAACAAATTAAACTATTAATGTATGATTTAAATTTTTTAAAATATTATTCGCTTCATAATATGCAATAATAATATAATGAAACAAACGCTGGTATTATGTTACAAAGATAAGGCAAATCAATGTTAAATTAGGAACCGTAAATTAAATACAATCTTAATTAGTTTGATAGTTCATCAATCAATATAAAATATAATTTCATATTTCATCAATCTTTTGATTTATAATTTATATTAGTATACATATATAATTTATATAAAGGTTTTTAGATACCTTGGATCAATTTTCTCATTCTTCAAGTGGAATATAAATGAATTGCCAGCCATTAATATTTTCTATGTTTATTATGTTATTAAGTTTATGACATAATTTTATTATATTTTATAAAATTTTTATGAATAAACTATATTTGATAAATATATAATAAATCTTATGTAATATCAAGATTTGTTTTTATACTCTTGAATTTCAAATCAAAAAGCTAGAGCTATCAAAATCATTGATTTTTTTTAGAAAACTGAATTGTAGAAAAGCATCAACATATAATAAAACATAAGATATAAACAAATATAATTAATACCTTATACATGTTTTAAGCTCATATTCCTATTTTATGTTGGTACTACAACTAGGGTTTATGGAGTAAAAAATATTTTGAGGGGCAGGGGAGTAATTTTTTGATGTGTTGTCTCTCATTTTTTTCTCCCACGAAGACGAGTTTCAACCCGACTCCTTTCGAAATTTTTTATTAGTTTGCATATATTATAACTAAGAAAAAATTTTTTTTTAGCCTCCAACTTCAAACAGCGGCTAAGATACGGGCCTCTAAAAGTCGAAAAAATGAGAAATTTTGGGTAAAATGTACTCCCTTTAATTTTAAATATCTTTGGTAATTGAGTTAGATGTCATTTAAATTTCTTTATATAGTGTTATATAATGTTAAATATTGGTAAAATAATTTAGATGTTAAAAACCCAGAAATGATCATAAAATCACATCAGCATTTTTTATTTCTCGGCCGAGCACAGTCTTAGAAAATATGGCATTTTAATCATTAGTTAATTGTAAAAATTTGTAATAAATATTTATTTAATAAATCATTAATAATAAATTTAAGCCAAAATATTTTATGTATTTAAATAAAAAATTAATAGTGGGGGATGGGGGCGGGGTGGCTATTCTTGATTTATGTAATATACTTACTCCTTAAAATTGGTATTTTTTTTATTTTTTTAGAGTTACAATCCATTCAATTTTGATAAAAATATACTTTTGCAAAGGCCTAAGAAATGTACTTCCATGAATGATTAACCAGAATTCACTAACGATAAAATATGCTTTGACAAAATTGCATGCTTTAACCAGTATCACATTTTAACAACATCTATATTTCACATATTAGTGATCCTACCCTTGAACATATTTATGATTCATCACCATTAATGGGCGATATATCAATTAAGAAGAAACGCTTAAGCGATTAGAGATATCCTATATTATAAAAAATTGAAAATCTACGAAAAAATTAAAAAAGACGTTTAGAAAATTTTGCCAGAAGGGTTAATATTAAGAATGAATATGAAATTATTAAGTAATCAAAAAATAAATTTTAAACATATTCTCTTTCAAAAATACGAAAAACTTACCAAAAAAAATCAAAATAACCCGAATGAGGGAACTTACAAAAATCAATGAGCTTATGAAAAATATAAGAACTTGCAAAAATCAATCAAAAAACTTACAAAGACAACTAAATAATAACTCAGTAAATCTTTATTATTAAAAAATTCTTATTTATAAAGCAAAAATTAAGATCATCAAAATTTAAAAAAATATGTTTTATAATTCTTTTTATTACAATAATCTTAAGAAAATTCAATAATATATTTTATAATCTTTTTAAAAAATTTCCAAAAAAAATTAATAATAATTAACAATCATCTTTGAAAAATTCAATTATTTTTCTACAATAGTCTTGAAAAAATTTAATAATCATAAAAAATATCTAGAGAAAAAAAATGTTATCTTAAAATGATTGACATTTTATATAAAAAATATTGATTTAAAAATCCAACAGTTATGACATTCTCAAGATATTGACCGTTTACCAAATTCTTGGAATCTAGAAACAAGGAGAATTTTCTACGACTATATTCATGGCAAGGATAGCTATTGGTTAAGGAAAAAGGTGTTTTCTCCATTCCAAATATTATAAAGGCAGAGAGTGTTTTTAGTGACTATATTATAGATATTATTAGAAAATTTCATACTTCCGATTAAAAGAGTTGTCGAATGCTTGGTAAAATCTTTTTTTTAATTAATAAAGACTAAAAGAGAAAAATGAAATGCTATTTTATTTAATTATGGACCAAATTTTTAAAATTTTAAACTAAAATGAATAGTTTTCTTAAATCAAAATTATTTATCAAACATGTTTTCTTTTCTGATAGTGTAGTAATTCAATAAATGAATAAAATTTATAATCTAAGCCATTATGAACTCTATTTTGGAATCAAAGCGGAATGACATTTCTTAGTAATAACCTATGGTAAACATTACCAAAGGTTAGAAGAGCTACCATCAGAGTTCACATTAGAATAAATACTAAACATTTAGCTTGTAGAACCAGAATATTCGATAGTGTTTTTATTTTATGGTAGTCGCAAATATGATTATAACTGATACAAGAGATTAGCTTGTAGAACCAGAATATTTGATGTGATTTTATTTTACGGTAGTCGCAAATATGATTATAACAACGATACAAGGCATTTTAATGTTAAATGACATTTCTTAAAAATATAAAAGTGAAAATTAATGTAAAAGTAACTTGTATATAAATAACAGCATAAAAATCATTCATCCGAAAATTATGATTAGCCTTTTAGGGTAAATTAAATTTAAGTTAAATTTTATTCATATTGTGAAGGTTATTCGATTTAGGCCAGGGTTGTATTGTCCTTAAAAAATTGAAGTACTATAAAAATTAGACGAAACAATTTTTCCAAAATGTTTAAACATAGTTTTATTTTTTTCATATATCTCTACTGTAGAAATTAATATTTAAGAAAATAATCTTTTAGTTTTTAATAATTATGAAATAAAAAATATGGAAATTTAAGCCCGGGGTATCTATTATCCTTTCATGTTTATAGCGTTTCATTGATTTTAAAAAAATTTTTATATAAAAATATGAATTTTAGTAAATGTATAAAAAATAAATTGTCAAATATGTTAAATTTATATACCTATATTTCCCAAACTCATAGGATTTTCCATCTTAAGCTTATCATTCTTTTCATTGTTCATCTATATCACCCGGAAGAAATTTCACTTAAAACTTTCATATAATTTACAAAAAATAAGTCAATCATATTCAAATTGTCATTCGTGGCCCCAGACAAACTAGTGGTTTCTAATGTTTTTATAAATTTAGTTATTTTTTTTATTCAAAATAATCTTTACAAAAATGATCAATGCGTACCCTGCCAAAACCTGTCTTAGGTCTTCACAATTAATTATAAATTTGAAAATATTTAATCAACACAAATATAGTCAATATTTTTATATATGATTAAAGGGTGATTTTATTATCATTTAGAATTATTTTTACGTCTGAATAATTTTTATAAAAAAAGTTATTAGTGAAAATGTAAAATTTCAGAAAGTTACTTTTGGTATGTTGAAATTTAAATTTGCATTTAAAATTTTTCATGAGCAATTTTGTCCGAAATATTTTTAGTCCTACTTAAGCACTTATTAAAATACATATTTGGCCTAAATTTCAAATCTCAAAGTTTATTAGTTTTTAAATTTTTTGAAAAGGAAATACCTGTCCCGGGAATACATTATCCCTGGCCTCCCCTATAAAAATAATTTTTTTAATGAAATTAACTTTTGTCTTCAGAAAATATAAATTTGTACATAGCCACCCCCCTCCTTCCAAAAATTAATTTCCCAGATCTAAGTAACTGTATTTTTAAATATTCAACATACAATTTGAAAGCTTTTGACTTATTATAATTATAAATT